ATGGGCAAGGTGGCTCTGCCAGTCCCCTATATCCTGCACCATCCCAGATCCAAAGGCACAGAGAGTACAAGACAGGCAGCACTTGCCCAGGATGGACCGTACTCTGGGACTGGGATGACCACAGCCCAATTCCAGAGTAAAGGCAGAGAGGCTAGGGACTCTAGGGGGTGGAGGCTCCGGGTACACCCCTGGTCCATACTCCTGGGGGAGGTTTACCCCACAGGAGTGTGGGTGACCACCTGAGGTTGCTGGACAGCAACATTAAGAGCCTACCCTAAAAGTTGAAACACATGGGCATTTTTCTTTTTCTTGTTTCTAAACGTGCCTGGGTGTTCAGTAAAGGGGCACCGGATCCCTCAGTTCCGTGTCAGTCTGATGCATTACACATAGCTTAGCAATGAAAAATTGTTAAGTATCCAACATTCAATTACTTAAAAATTAAAATAGGAAGGTCGAGATCGCAGGCCGCCGGCCCAGGGCGACACCTCAGCAAATCAGGCTGAGTACCAGAGTGGGGGGACAAGCCTCCGCCCAAGGCTCCAAGGGGACCCCAGGCCAAAGCACCGGGCAGGGACCACTCGCCCCGGGCGGCGGCAGCAGCGTGGCACGGGGACGTCCCTTTGGCGGGCCGGTGCCCCTGCGCTCCCCGGCGGCGCGCCGCCCCAGGAAAGTTCCCGGCCTTACCGCCCCCCGGGCCGGGAGAAAGTTTCCGTGGCCGCCGGGCCCCGGCTGCGAGGCGCGGGGCGGACACGGCTGCGGGGCCGGGAGGCGCGCGGTGCGGGGCGCCCCGGCCGGGTCGGGCAAGGCCCGAGACCGCGCACAAAGGGACCCACCCCCGCCGGCCCGGGGCGTCGGCGCCGCAGCGCGGGCGAGGCGCGGGCGGAGTAGAGCTGGGCTCCGACCCCCGGCCCAGACCCTCGACCGGACCCCGACTCCGGGCCCAGGACCTGCCGGACCTCCGCCCTGCCCCCAGTACCCACCCCGGGCCCGGGCCCCGGCCCCGTCCCCGCCCCCTGGCTCCAGCTTACCTGTGTGGCGTGGGCGGCTCCACAGCGCAGCCCCCGCCCCCGGGCGGGCGTCCCGAGTCCCTCGGCTCCCCGGGCGCGGCGTTCTCGGGGCGCGGCGCGTGTCGCCGTCCGCGGGGCCGCACCTCGGGCTGGTACGGGCGGACCCTCCCTGCCGGGCGGCGCACAACCCGCCGGCCGCCTCCCGCCCCTCGCGCAGCCGGTGCGCAAAGCGGCCCGGCCGGCAACGCGACCTCCGCCCCGCCCCATCCGACCGCGAATTTTCCCATTGGCCGAGAAGCCCGGGGCGGCCCGGCAACCGGCGCCGATTGGACGGGCGCGCGGAAACGGCGGCCTGCCATTGGGCCTCCGGGGTGTCGGTCCCGGCGGATGACCCGCCCCCTCGAGGGCCCGGCCCGGGCACCTGCCAGCACCGCTGCGGCGGCCGGGAGCGCAGGGCGGCCCCTCTCTCCCGGCGGCTGCCGCGGATGTCCCCGGACCGTCGGTCCCTAGCGCCCCTGCCCTGGACTCTGGCCGCGTGGCACCCACCGCCACCCCAGTTCGCAGGTGTCCTTTTCCGGCGCCCGCCCGCCGACATGGACTGTATTTCTCACACGCCCGCGAGGCAGCGGTCTGTTGCTAGCCCGCCCCATTTCACAGACGGGAAACTGAGTCTTAGAGAGGTTCTCGCTCGCTTTAGGCGACGGGGCTTGAACCCGGCCTCTGACTCCGGGGCCTGGGGCTCTGCCGCCCTCACCACCCCTGTCCCCGCATCCTGGGCGCGGGTGAGGCCTTGGCCCAGCAAGGCTGGGGTAGGGGTGGGGAGGACCTTAGTGTTTCCAAGGGCAGGAAGAGACTCCTTGTAAACCAGGAGTTTAGGGTTTACTCCCCTATAGTACAGAGATCCTGGGCTCGCTCCAAACACGGCCTCCCACCATGGGGCTGCCCTTCCTCACTTCCGCCTGGAACCCCCCTAGCTCTCGGCCGGGGGAGGGGGCCTGTCTCCCCCGTGCCTCCCATGCCTGCACCCTGCCTGGAGTCACGGAGGCACACTAACCACCTGCTGAGATTAGACTAGGTTGTGTTTCCCTGCCAGGTGGGGAGCACCGTCCTCATCTCTGATGTGACTCGGAGCGCACAGGGGACCTGACCCTCAGCAAGCTCTCCAGACTTGTGGGTGATGTGGGGAGAACAGCAGGGATGCTGCCCAGTGGGGCTTCTCTCTGGGGGAGATCCTGAGATGGCCCCTTGGCCAGTGTCCCCAGCTCTCGGTTGGTCCTAAGCCTTTCCTAGCCCCAGATGCAGCTGCAGATGACCAGTTTCTCAGCTCACAACATTCCCAAGGCCGCTGGGGGGACAAGCTGCCCATGACAGTACTAATGGGGGTGGTGGAGGGGAACCAGACACCCCTGTCTTACCTACCTGTGTTGGAAGTCCAGTGTGTTCACCCAGTAGTTGCTTGGTCAGAACAAAAAAAGTGAAATGGCCTTGGGCAAGCACTCACCACTGGTACTACCAGTGGGTCCACCTGTGCCCTGGCAGTCATGGCGAATTGACCCCACAGTCTTTCAGAGCCAGGCAGCTACTACCAATCGATTGGAGCTGGCACTCGAGGTGACAGCCATTTGGTACTCTGGTATAGGGACGTTGCTTCCGGCTCTGGAAGAGCAGAGTGAAGCTTCCCTCCCTGGAACCCAGGGTGACACAGCACCATGGCGACATTCTGGCTTAGGTGCTATGTGGCTGGGGGTTCTGTGTCCTCCTCTTGGGAGTAGATTTGATAAGTCCAAGCATCTCTCCAAGGGCATCGGACCCTGGTCCTCCTGGAGCCCCTCTTCTCACAGTGACCCGTTGTCCAGCACCACCCTTGCCCCACACTTGCTGAGAGAGAGTGAAAGGGAGAATCACCCACCCAAATCAGCCCAAGCGAGGATTATTTCCCTCTCATCAGCACCCCCACTCCCATAGGGTTCCAGAGACCACCAGCGGCATACAGAGGCTCAGGGTGTGCAGCACCAGCACAAACAAGACTCAGGGCTGCTGTCCAGCAGTCAGCATACCAGGCTGCAGGTAGGATCAAAAACAGAGAGCAGGGAGACCACAGGGACCGGTAGCCCAGTATCCTCCCTTCCTCTCACCCTCTCCACCCAGCTGCTGGCCAGCTCTGTAGGGACAGCTATAGGGTACATGGGGAAAGCCACGGGAGAAAAAGGTTTCAGCTGAGTGCAGGAAGAACTTCCCAACAGTTGCAGGGGTTCAGAAACCAAAAGAGTGGCCACAGGAGGTAGTGAGCCCCTGTCTGAGGACATGTGCTATCAGAGGTGGGATGACAGATAGCCCCTTGCAGCCCCAAGATCCCAGGGCTCAGGTGCCTACTCCTAGACCCATCTCATCTGCTTTCTGGCATCATAGAGCATCCAGACTGCAGTGAGTCAGTGGTGGAAGAAAACATCAGAGTGCCTGGCTCAGTCTAGCTGGGGAGAGTATGGCTGGGGTGGGGCTGGCCCAGGGCCACATGCTGTCTGTGACAGAGTGGGATTTGAACCACCATCTGACATGTCGCCACATCCCTCTTTGTGGGCAAAGGGAAAGCTTGGTCAATCCACATCCCACTCTGCGGTGTGTGGCCTGGTGCTTTGGGGCAGACTATTTTGCAGCTGCTGCCTGGTACCCCAGGGCATGGTCCCTCACCTGCAAACCCCAGATACCACTTGTCCACCACTGCTACCTCTTGGCTTTATGGACCATATGATCTGGTCGCTCATAGGGAAATTATGGGCGCCAGCCTGGCATGATTCCACTGCTGGATGGCAGGAGGGAAAACCAAGTATCTGGCTGGGTCTGCTGCCTGCTTGCCAGGTGTCCCTGGGCATCTGGGGTCCTTGGTCTCCTCAGCTGTAGAAGGTTCCAGGAGGATCACAGAGACTGCAAAAGAGTGGGGCAGAATGGGCCTGCACTTAGGTCCAGGTGAGACTCTTGCCTTTGCAGATTACCAGGCAGGCCCTTGCCCTCTGTGAGCCCGTTTTCTGCAGGGCATTGGGGCTTTGGGTCAAGATCACGGTGCCTAGGTCTTCAACACAGGGCCGTGGAGCTAACCCAGCCACTGCTGCTTGCCACCGTTTATACTTCAACTGAATGACATAACTGCTCTGAGTCTCAGTGTTTATGTCTATGAAGTGGGGTGAATGAGACTTGTGGACCCAGACAGCTAGGTTTAGAGTGCTTAGCATACTGTCAGTATCCTCAGTATAGTTGTCATCCTTGTCATAGTCTTTTGATTCCTCACTTTGGGGCAGGGCCTGGGCCTCTGACTCCCCACCTTTCTGGAGCTTAGGCCCCAGGAACAGCCCAGAGGCTGGTGGGGACAGGGCAGGGCCCCAGTCATTGCCCACCTGCTCACCCAGCACAGCTCACACTGGGCCAGCCCGTCATCCTTGGGGCATGGACCTGGATGTGGGCTCAAAGGCTGCAGTGGCATGGCTAGGGCTGGAGTGCCTGGTCCCTGGTCTAGGGTCCGTTCTGGGAATAGCAGGGACATCAGGGGCGGGGGCAGGCGTGGGGGGAGGGCGCATAACGTGAAGGTAGGGATGTTCAGGACAGAGGATGTCCAGGTCCAGTGGTCAGGATCCGGTGGACAGGGATGGCGAGACCAGGACGCAGCCCCAGGGAGGCAGGTCTGGAAGTGCGCATTCCTGTAGCTCTTCTAGGGAGGGCCGCAGGGTGAGCAGGTGACAGCAGGGCTGCCACCACCTCCCAGGGCGCCCCCACGGGTCTGGAACCCAGGAGGCCAAGAAGGCCGCGGGGGTCACGAGGAGCCCAGACAGCCGCACAGCCCCAAGGTTTGGCGCAGCCCCGGGGGCGGGGTGCCAGGAGGGCTGCAGCCCCCGAGCGACAGCGCGCGTAGCCAACGGGCCCCCGGGACGCAGCGCGCTGCCCCGCCCCTCGCCGCACCGCCCAATGGTGAGCGCACAGGCGGCGAGCGGGAGGGGCCTGGGCTGGCGGCGGCGGCGGTGCGCGGGCGCGGCACCCGGAAGTCGGCGGCGGCGGAGGCGGTGAGTGCGCGGCAAGCTGCTGGGCCGGTGGACTCCGCTGCCGGTGGGGCCGGCTCGGGCTCAGGGGCGCCCGGCTCCGGGCTCTGGGGGCAAGAACGGGGCTGGCTCTTCGAGGGTGTGTGGGCCAGCCGCACCTCCGTGCCCTGCCTCAGTTTCCCCTTTCTGGGGTGTAGAATGGAGTCACGCGGCTAGGCCTGGGCCTCTGTCGGGGATAGCAGACCTACCCTGGCCGACGAAAGCGCGCCACGCGTGACTGGAAGGCGTTTCCGATCTTGCCCGCTGGAACGGGGTGCGGGGGCCACTGGCAGGCAGGACCCGACTCGCTGCGGGGAGGTTGAGACTGGCGGGGCTGGGAGCTGCGTGGGCATTGCGGGATGGGTGGGCTGCGGCTTTGGCCAGCATCTGGGACAGCTCTGGAGTCGGGTCACACTGCCCCCGCCCTGCGGTTTGCTTGGGGGTAGTGGGGTAGCAGCTGGTGTGGATCTGGGTGGAAGGCAAGTGCTGGGTCATCCTTGTGCCTGAATGCTGCCTGCCTGGGGATGCTGGGGAAGTCGGACCACCACCAGAGCATCAGTGGCGGGGACTGGGCTCTGCCCTTGTTCCTGCTGGGGAGTGGGCACAGTGGATTCTCTCCCTGGCCCCAGCACCTGTCCTGTGCTCCCTGGCTTCCTGCTGGGCCACAGCTTTAGAGAGAACCTTCTGCCCTTGGACAAGTCCCTGGGCCTCAGGCCCCCTTCCTCCGTAGCAACGTCACATGCCCAGCACCAGCCGGGCTTGCTGTGTGGCTCTGGACCTGCCGACCGCTGTTTTGCTGCCATTCTGGGCTCGGAGCCCTCTTCCATGAGGCAGATGTGACGGCAGCTGTGAGGAATAGCTGGGTAGCTGTTTGGAAGGCTTGTTAGTCCTTTGGGACTTTGGGCAACCTTCTGGGGCAAGCATTCATTGGCCCAATCCTGTTCACACAAAAAAAGTCAGGCTAAAGGGGCAGATGGTGTTTCCAAGGCTGTTCAGAGCCAGCTCCCAGTCCCTCTGCTCCTCCTGGGCCCCCTCCCAAAAACCTTCCTGCATTGGGTGACCTGTCCGGGGGTGGAGGCAGCTGGAGAGGTTGTGTAGCCTCTGCCCCTCCTCCAGGATCCCAGCGCTCTGGTGGGGCAGGGTGGGGTGCCCTGGTACTCCCACCCCGCAGGCTCCTGTAGCATGGGTCCCCAACCCATGGGTTCGTGTTGTGTGTCCTTAGACTGCAGGTCCCTAAGACCAAGTCCCCGCCTGCCCCCATGTGCAGTGACAGTAGCCTTCACTGAACTACGGGCCTGGCTGTTCAGCCCTTGCGCTTTGGTGTCTTCACTTATGGGCTGTCATCCCACCGCATTTCACAATGGGCGTGATCGTGAGCGGTACCGTGGGAACTCAGTCCCGCGCTGGCTGCCGCCCCAGGCGGTGAGCTCTGAGGGCATCAGGGTGATGCCTCTGAGAACCCGTGGAGAGATGAGGGGCCTATTGGGGACCCCAGAATGGGTCTGGAGAGAAATGGCCCAGGGCAGGGAGACCAGGAGGACTTCTAGAAGTGGGGCCGTGCTTGTCATTGACATTCCCAATGTGTGAGAACCGGGCCTGTCCTTTGGTAACGTGTGCATCAGCGCGTGATGGCAGCACAGCCTGGCGCTTTGTTGGTCCTGACCACTGGGTTTGACGATGTGCTCCGTAAAAACAAGGTCTCCCCAGCATGACTGAGATGCCCTTTGTGGTTATCAGAGCAGCTCTTTCCCCCCATTTCCTCTCAACTTCTTTTTTAGGTTGCAAAAGTAATATATGCATCCTTAAAAATAAAAAAGGCTGGTCTCTGTCTCCTGGCGGTGGCTCCCCTGGTGCACCTGCTGGCATTTGGAGATACGACATCTAGGCCTCCAATCCCACGCTGACTTTAAGTGCTCGCCTTTGCCCTCTGTGCAGGAGTTGGTAGAGATGCCCCTTTTTTTGTTTTTGGTAACCACTCAGGTTGAAGGGGCTGCCAAGAGGCTAGGCCTGCCCTTGGCTTGTGGGGAAGCTGAGTGATCCTGCCAGGAGGGCCTGGGGTGCAGGGGCCACCCGCTGCCCAGAACGTCCTGTCGTGCTCATGTTTGTGCTGCTCCTTTGAGCTGTGAAGAGAATGATATTTTGGTGTGAGGCTGAGTTAACGCCCCAAAAGCGTTGTGAAGACCTGAGCAGAGAACGTCACTGCAGAAAATTTGTCATGGTAAAATGCCATTTAGTAGCTAAATGAGAAAGCATAGCGTGCTGAGCCGTCGCCGCCGGGATGAGAGTTGAGTAGGGCACTGCCACGACTGGCCACTGGGAGGGTTTCCCAACTCAGGGCTTTCTCCGCCAAGGCTTCAGGAACAGCGACAGTATGTTCCCATGTGTGTTTACCTCCTCTGCTGGCAGCTGCCGGTAGTCCACGTCACATGTCTGTGTCTGTCCTGTCCTTCCAAAAGAACAGCTCCAGCTTTCAAGCTCTGCCCTCCAGGGCTGTCACGGCCGACCAGGACAGTGTGCAGGTGGGGATGGGACACCCGGCTGCCAAGTAGGCTCTTGTGGTCATTGAGCGGCTCGCCAGAAGCCCTCGGGCTTCGCCATCCTCTGCGTGTCTTCTCCAGACCAGACAGACAGGCTGGACAGCCTTAAAAACGTATTCCCCAGGCTGGGTGTGGTGGCTCACACCTGCTTTGGGGGGCCGAGGTGGGAAGATCGCTTGAGCCCAGGAGTTTGAGGTTGCAGTGAGCTTTGATTGCGCCACTGCAATCCAGCCCAGGCAATAGAGCAAGACTCCGTCTTTTAAAAAACAAAAAACAGAAAATCACACATTCCCCAAGTGTGTGAAGTGCTTGGCATTGTTAAATGAGGCAACAGAGTGTAGGGCTCAGCTAACCAGCCTGTGTGCAGCCCAGGCAGGAGAGCTACCTCACGGGCGCTAGAAGCCCCACCCTCCCGAGCATCTAGGCCACCTCAGCCCCATGTCTCAGTGAAAGTACCTCCCTGTTCCCTGGAACATCTGTCATCACTGTATTCTGACTGCGTGTGTCCCTTCTGCCCAGATGCCCTGTTTCTCTTTTCAGTTGACAGAGGGAAGTGCTCCATCAAGAGTGAAGCCCCTGGCCGGGCGCGGTGGCTCACACCTGTAATCCTAGCACTCTGGGAGGCCGAGGTGGGCGGATTGTTTGAGCTCAGGAGTTGGAAACCAGCCTGAGCAAGAGCGAGACCCCCGTCTCTACTAAAAATACAAAGAAATTAATCGGACAACTAAAAATATATAGAAAAA